CAGCAGACCAGATTATTTAAGCGCCCCCCCCCCCGCCCCCCACACACATCAAGTAGTTTATTAGAAGCTTTTAAGTCTTTCATAGACTTGCACATTTGGCTTCTCTTATGCTTTCCTATAAAATATAGTTTATGGTATCACATTTTATTTTTAACTGAAATAATGTACATATGTAAATAGCTCTTGACAGGAAGAGCTAATATATTAATGTAACATTAGCCTCCTATCAGTGAGCAGAACAAATACATCATTTAAATTTATGCTGCACTTTGAGTTACTGCAAATATAGCCCAATTTGTTTACTTTTGAAAAATGTGATAGTTAAGGAAATCTACTAAAGAATGATTTATGGAAGTCTTTCTAATATTGTACTTTTGTATAAACTGTACTTGGAACTTTTCCTCAGGCACTTACCCCTCCCCTTCTCGTAGGAACTGTATCCATAAAGACACGTACTGGCCTTTGACAGAGCATAAAGTAGAAAGATTTTTCGTTCTTACATGGATTCATTATCATACATTTGAGAGAAGGAAATTGATCATTGAGATGCCATGGATATCGACTTTGTATCTAATGCTCTAGGATCTTAACAGAAAGTAACAGAAAAATAGGACCCCGCAGATCTGATCAGTTCATATACTTGCCAGTCGTTTGGGGGGTTAGATTATGACACCCTTCAACTTGACCTGAGTACACAGAACTTACATTTCACGCTTTTAAAATTTAGAGTGGGGGAAAGATGCTCTGGAAACTTAAACGAGTTTTCCATTAATCATTTAAGATTCTACAGACGTTTGCTTAAATTCTGTAGACTGTGTATGCTCGTGTTCTTTTTATTTTTATCTTTGTCTTCTCGAAAGTAGGCATCAAAGGAAGGAAGGAGAGGCCCATTTGGGGTTCAAGAGCTGGCTGCAAAGGTCATGTTGCTGTGGCCATTCTCCCCTTGGATCTTTTTCTTGTCCGTCTTTTCTTTCTCCCTTTTTTTAAAAAATAAAATCTTTGCAGCTATATATTGAATTTCCGGGAATACAGGATGTTCTCCCCTCCCCCAAATTCCACTGAGTTGATTCTTTAAAAAGAAAGGAAGGAATCTGTACCGTGCCAAAGAAAATAAGGTACATGTGTGAGAATTTCAAATTGTAACCCAGGGTAGCATTTTGGCAACTTCAGCAAAGAGTGAGCCAATAAATTGGAGGCTACGTATTGG